TATATTTTTAATGTTTCTCTTTGAATCTTTGTTCATATGCTTATAATTCTAGGCACTAATACAGACACACACACACACACACACACACACACACACACACACACACATGAGATGCAGCTTTTATCCAGATAAATTTATAAATTTGAAAACAGTTTTAAATTGAATGCTAGCTCCATATATATATATATATATATATATATATATATATATATATATATATACTATAATGGGATATGATGATTTATACATTGTACATGTTTGCATAAACACTTCATTCACCACAAAAATATTCTTACTGCAAGTTAATATTGGAAGATGAATCATACAAAAAAGACTAAAGACAGACTTGGTAGACTCTTAGATGAAAAGCTATCTACTCAGTTTATTTAAGGGAAAAACCTATTGATCTGAGTTTCATTAGTTTCAATAAAAATGATTGCTTTGTAGGAAAATTTCTGTAATATATCTAGGAATATATAAAATTAGAAATATTTTTAATGTTCTTATACTTAATAATTATAGCTAATGTTTTAAAAGGAGGAGAAAGGAAGGAGAAGAGGGAGGGAGAGTGGGAGTAGGAAGGGATGAGGCAGAGGCTGCAGCTTGAATACAAAGTGAATAAATTGTAATTAATAAAAAAATGTAGAAAAAAATTAGTTTTAGAGAAAATTTTTTTGTACATGTTATTATTATTATTATTGCTTAAATAGTAAATTTTAATTTGAGTTATGGCTTCTCTTTAAAATACAATTCAGAAGGCTAACCTTTTGTCAATATTGATGATGATGTTATCTAATTAACAGTGTAATACATCACTATAATAAGCACAACTACTTCAAATGTCATACAGATTTCAGGTGAAAAGTTTTTGAAGAGGTTTTCATGGTGACTTAGTAGAAATTAGATTTGAATTGTCTGAAGAACCAATGCTAATATTATGCTACTAAGATTAGCGTTTCCATTATCTTTTATGTTATTTCAAGAGGAGCTCAGACCATGTATAGAGAAGACCTAGACCTACTGCTCAGATGTAGCTCATAGACAGCTCAGTCTTCATGTGCATTCCCTAGCAAGGGGAGAAGAGACAGTCCCTGACATGAACTCAGTTGCCTGATCCTTGATCATTTCTCCCTGGTGGGGCAACCTAACCAGCTCACAGAGGAAGAGGGTCCAGGCAATCCTGATGAGACCTGACAGGCTAGGGTCAGACAATAGGGAACAAGGACTTCCCCTATTAATCGACTAGGGAAGAGGGACAGGGGAGGAAGAGAGAGGAAAGGCATGGCTAGAAGGAGATGAGGGAGGGGGCTATAACTGAGCTACATAGCAAATAAATTTTAAATAATAATAAAAATAAGAAAATATTTAAGAACATAAAATAAATTCATTGAAATCTTCACTCTATATGGCAAATTTTATGACTAAACAATATTTGTTGATTTAAACTTATGAAAACTTTAAAAAAGAGGAGCTTAGATGCTGTAATTCAGAAATATAAAGAGATTTATTAAAAATTATATGATTTCTAAATATATTAGGTTTATAATATTCTGTTTTATTTTCTTGACTATGAAAATAAATCTCTGAAAGTTTCAAACTATTTCAATTGTTTTTTTTTCTTTTTTCTTTTAGTTTTTATTAATTACAGTTTATTCACTTTGTATCCCCCCTGTAGCTCTCTCCCTCCTCCCCTCCCAATTCCACCCTCCCTCCCCCTCTCTTCTCCACCCATACCCCTCCCCTATCTAATGATAGGGGAGGCCTTCCTCTTCTTCTTTCTGATCCTATCTAAAAGGTCTCAGCAGGAGTGGTTGAATTGTCTTCCACTGTGGCCTGGTAAAGCTGCTCTCCACTCAGGGGAAGGTGATCAAAGAACAGGCTAATCAGTTTATGTCAGAGACAGGCCCTGTTCCCATTACTATGGAACCCACTTGGACACTGAACTGCCATGGGCTACATCTGTGCAGGGGTTCTAGGTTATCTCCATGGATGGTCCTTGGCTGGAGTATCAGTCTCAGAAAAGACCCCTGTGCCCAGATTTTTTGGTTCTGATGCTCTCCTTGTGGAGCTCCTGTCCTCTCCAGGTCTTACTATCTCCCCCTTCATTCATAAGATTCCCTGCACTCTGCCCAAAGTTTGGCTATGAGTCTCAGCATCTGCCTCGATACCCTAAAGGGTAGAGCCTTTCAAAGGCCCTCTGTGTTAGGCTCCTGTCCTGTTCCCTGTTTTCTCCCACTTTTGGTGTCCATCCTCTTTGCCTTTCTGAATGGGGATTGAGCATCTTAGCCAGACTCCTCATTTTTGATTGGCTTCTTAAGTGTACAGATTTTAGTATGTGTATCCTATATTATATAACTAATATCCACTTATGCCAAAACCATTCAATGGAAAAAAGATAGCATCTTCAACAAATGGTGCTGGTCTAAATGGATGTCTACGTGTAGAAAAATGCAAATAGATCCATGCTTATCACCCTGCACAAAAGTAGATCAAATACCTCAATATAAAACCAGACACACTAAACCTGTTAGAAGAAAAATTGGGGAAGAGCCTTGAACTCATTGGCACAGGAGACAACTTCCTGAACAGAACACCAACACCACAGGCTCTAAGAGCAACAATCAATGAATGGGACTTCATGAAACTAAAAAGCTTCTGTAAAGTGAAGGATACTGTCATCAGAACAAAATGACTGCCTACAGATTGGGAAAGGATCTTCACTAACCCTATATCTGACAGAGGGGAAATATCCATCTATCTATCTATCTATCTATCTATCTATCTATCTATCTATCTATC